GGACCCCACCATTCTTTCCTGCCTATGCAGGGGGTCAGACTCGATGATCTATTGAGGTCCCTTCCGACCCTAACATCTATGAATCTATGTTTGCTTCGTAGTTGGTAGGGTCAGAAGGGACCTGAGCAGATCATCAAGTCCGACCCTCTGCCATGGGCAGGAATGAATGCTGGGGTCAAATGACCCTGGCAAGGTGATTATCCAGCCTCCTTTTGAAGACCCCCAGGGTAGGAGTGAGCACCGCTTCCTTTGGAAGTTGGTTCCAGATCCTAGCCTCCCTGACTGAAGTAGTGCTTCTTGATGTCCAGCCTGAACTTACTCTCAGTCAACTTATGGCTGTTGTTATTCCTAGTTACTCCTGGTAGTGCTTGGGGGAACAGGGTCTCTCCTGCTGCCCACTGGCCCCCCTTGGTAAGTTTATAGATGGCCACCAGATCCCCTCTCAGCCTACAGGTTCAAGTCCCGTAGCCTCTCCTTGTAGGGTCTGCCCTGCTGTCTCCTGATCATGGACCCTCTCGATGCTGTCCATATCCCTCCTGAAGTGCGGCGCCCAGAGCTGCATGCACTACTCCAACTGTGGCCTGACCAATGTCGCATAGAGGGGGAGGATCACCTCCCTTGGACCTGCTCGTGATGCATCTTTGGATGCATGACAAGGTGCAGTTGGCCCTACTGACTGCATCCTCAATAATGATTCCAAGGTTCCTTTTCTGCCTCTGCACTGACGAGAAGGGAGTTCCCCAGCGTGTAGGTCTGCTGCTGATTCTTCCTCCTGAGGTGCAGTACCTTGCACTTGTCAGTATTGAAACCCATCCTATTCTCATCCACCCACCACTGTAACCTGTCCAGATCGAGTTGTAGCCTGTCCCTCTCTTCTAGCGTGCCCACTTCTCCCTATTTCTTAGTGTCATCTGTGAACTTGAACAAGATGCTTTTCACCACCTTGTCCAAGTCGCTGACAAAGATGTTGAACAGTGTGGGCCTGAGGACCAAGCCCTGGGGAACCCCACTGCCCACATCCCTCCAGGTCAAAAATGACCCGTCCACTACCACTCTCTGGGTGTGGCCCTCCAGCCAATTTGTGATCCATCTGACTGTGTAGGCATCAATGCCACAGTTGCCTAATTTTTTGATGAGAATGAGGTGAGGAAGTGTCGAAGGCCTTCCTCAAGTCTGGAAAGACTATGTCCACCATGACACCTGCATCCAAGGATCTGGTGACCTGGTCGTAGAAGGCACCCAGGTTGGTTTGATAGGACCTGCCCCTAATGAACCCATGTTGGTTGCCCCTTAGCATTATCTCCCTTGCTGGTCCTTCGCAGATGTGCCCGTGGATAATTTTCTCAAAGAGCTTCCCCAGGACCGAGGTAAGACTAACAGGTCTATAGTTTCCTGGGTCCTCCTTCCTCCCTTTTTTGAAAATGGGGACCACATTGGCACTTTTCCAGTCCTCTGGCACCTCACCAGAGCACCACAAGTACTCATAGAGCTGTGCCAGGGGTCCCGCAATGTCCCCTGCCAATTCCCTCAACACCCTTGGGTGGAGATCATCTGAACCTGCCAATTTGAAGATGTCCAGTCCCACCAGAAGTTCCCTGACCAGGTCCTCTCTGACCCTGGGCCCGGCTGTACCTCTCCTGAGTTCGTCTGGGATTCCGGTGGGGGGGATGCCCTGGTCCTTGCTCAGAAATATGGAGACAAAGAATTTGTTAAAGAGGTCAGCTTTATCATCTGGTGCAACCACCAGATTGCCAAGCGTGTCCTGCAGGAGCCCCATATTACCCAGTGCCTCCTTCTTACTCCCTATGTATTTAAAAAAGGACTTCTTGTTGTCTAGTCCCAGTTCTGCGTCCTCCTTAGCTTTCCTAACAGCCCCCCTACAGTCTCGAGTAATGGAGGTGTAATCCTCCTTGGTGACAGCCCCTCCCTTCCACCGGGTGTATGCCTCCTTTTTAGCTTTCAGACATTCCTGAGTGCCTTTGGTGAGCCATGGGGGCTTTTGAGCACTCTTGCCCCCTTTGACTCGCATTGGGATTGTCGCCCTTTGGGTTCGGAGTATCGTCTCCTTAAGGAACGACCACTCCTCTTGGACTCTCAGCTCAACTCCCCTCCCCTCCCGGACCTGAGTGCCTCCCCAACTGATCTCCTTAATTCATTGAAATCGGCCCTCCTGAAGTCCAGGGCTGCTGCCTTGCTGCAGGCCTTTTGACACCCTGCGCTGGATGGTGAATTCCAGCAGGCAATGATTGCTATCCCCCAGGTGGTCAAGAACCCGCAGACCCCTCACCAGGTCATCACGTGTGGCCAGGACCAGGTCCAGGTCCAGCAAGGCATTTCCCCTGGTGGGACCGTGCACCTCCTGGGTTAGGTGGAGGTCCTGTATCTCGGCTAGGAACCTACGTGAGCAGTCAGACCTGGCTGACTCTTCTTCCCAGCACATGTCTGGGTAGTTTAGGTCACCCATGATAACTGCATCCATTGACTTAACTGCTTCTGTGAGCTGACCTGAGAATTCCCGGTCCGTCTCTTCCCCTGGGTTGGGTGGTCTGTAGTAGACCTCCGCCGTTAAGTCCCTTCCCCCCACCCCCGACACCCTTGTATTCGGACCCAGAGCACTTCAGTCTGCCCCTCCTCTAGCCCTGTGCTGTTTGTTGAGGATGTCTATTGCTTTTTGACATAGAGCGCCACACCCTTGCCTTTCCTCCCCATTCTGTCCTGCCTGTACAGCCTGTAGCCCTTGATGTTCACCACCCAGTCGTGGATTGAATCCCACCATGTTTCAGTGAGCCCCACTATGTCCGGGTTTGTGTTAGCTAGCAGGAGGGCAAGTTCCTCCTTCTTGTTCCCCATACTACATGCATTAGTGTAGAGGCATTTAAGGCCCCCTGTGGGTGTATGCTCTGCCCCCCTGAACCCAGGACTGTCTGGACCCCTGCACCCTCTGGGGTACAGGGTACTTTTTGTGCTCATCACCTGTCATGGCTGGGAAGCATCGTCATAGCCCCCTGTGGCCCCATCCCCCGGGTGAAGCTAGTTTAAAGGTAATGCAGATACTTTTATATAAAAAATTATTTGAGGCTACTTGGTCCTGAGGAGAATACATTGCTTCGTGGAGCTGAAAACAGACATGAATTAAAAATGAAAGAACATGATGCTCCTCTTTTAATTTGTTTCACCTCAGTATAACTGATTCCAAAGGAATTGCTCTGAGTTGCACATTGTGAGAAGCAAATCATCCCCCAGCTTTTCTGATGGAGGAAGATGACTGCATGCATGAGAGAGAGAGAGAGAGAGAGACCTTCTCAAATAATCCCCTTTTAACTTGGCTTTACTAGAGGAGTTTCAAACCTGCCACCAGCAATGACTAACATTAAAGAACGTAGAGGAAAAGACATTGTCTGAATCATAGAGGTCTGATAGTGTTGATTCCTATATTCCAAGGAAAGGCTATAAATATTTATTCTAATATCATAAAAGCCTTAGTCTGTCTGTCTGTCTGTCTGTCTGTCCGTCCATAACGCTTTGGGCCAACTGTGCCTGCACCTTTGAGAGGGCATGTGCCAACTGGCTGCGAGGGCCCGGAGCATTACAGCCAGAGGGTGCAAGGGAGCCACTGAGCTGTGCTGCCTCCCCTTCCCTTCCCTTCTCTTCTCCCTCAAGCAACAGCTGGCAGGGAGGAAGGGGAAGCGGGGGCTTCAGTGACAGCGCCCCCACGGGATGCTGGGTGGTAGTGGTCCATTCCCTTCCCTCCATCATTCATGACAGGCAATTTGCTAGTAGCACAATAAAACTAAAAAGTAATCCTGGAAAATGTTACGTGCATGCACGAAAAATGGCACAGAGTTGTCAGACTGGAATAGAAGAGTTTCAGGAATCACTTCCGCATTACAGCAAACAAAACTTTTCTTAACCTGTCCAATATGTTTATTATAATTATTTTCCATCAGTGCTTCTTATCCAAAGTGGAAAGGGAAAGTTTTCTTCTAAAACTCAAAAGCAAAAATGTCAGTCTAGACAACAGAGGCTGAAGGGATTTCATCCATCAAAGAGCTTAACTAAATTACTATGTAGTGACAGTGTATCACAGGTTTAATATTATCTATCATGCTGGACATCAGCAGTTGTGCAGAAAAGGATTCCTAATGGCTTGTTCAGTGCGAACTGTCTTATGAACTCAAGACTATAAGTGTATTTCTTTGTCAAAATGAATATATCTAATTATTTTTTTGCTTCACTTTAAAGCTGCACCTCTGAACAAACTGAAATTAATACAGTCCAGCCTGGAAGAAGACCCTGAAGACGTTCGGATGGAATTTATGAAATACTTCAAAAGCATTGTCAACTTGCTAAATGAAAGCAGAGATAGGGAAGAGATGTCAATTATCACGTAATGCTGAAAGAAAGAATGAAGAGAGAGAGCGAGCGAGTACTGTTTTGCAGTTTGAGATCTGTCCTAGCCAAGAAATAACTCTAGAACTTATCTCATTAAGGAGAGTTTGCCAGTGGATAAACACTATAAGAATAGTTTGTGAGTGATTTTTCCCCCAGAGAAAATAGATGCACGGCTTAAGACTCCTCAAGAGACTGAAGGCTGAATTCAGATGAACTGTTATCCAAAAGATTTGGCTGTAAATCCAGGAATGCAAGTAACTTTAGCTGTCCCCTGACCAGGTGTGTTCTTGGATAAAGTTCAAGAAGGTATCTTCTAATATGTTTATATGGACTCAGCTAATTAACTATATATTTAGTTTGTGAAGACATTAAGGAATTGGCTAGTTCTTAATGGAGTCACCTAAGAATGTTCTCATCCTTTTCCAGAAAAAGCTAAATGAATGGGCCAGGCAGAACAAGTTTTAGGAATCTGTGTTTAAGCCACTTGGGTAATGTGTCTATGGCAGCTGTGCTCTTACTTGGAGAAAATATGCTTTTGGATGTCACTGGTTGGAACTGAGATGTGAGCCTTAAGTCTCTGGTGAAATCTATGTTTTAATGTCCCCAAATTTCCTCACCTCTCTGTCCAGGATCTGAAGAGCATATCATTTTACAGGCTTGTGTTCTGGCAAGATAGAATAAACTGCAACCTTTATTCTGACAAGCCTTTCCATCCACTGCAACAAAACTCCCATATTTTCTCAATAGCAGCAATGTGGAGCCGGCACTGCTCTTCCGGCCCTGTAGCAGTAGTGGCAGGGATCTGCTGCTGCTGCTCTGGGGCCAGGCTAGAATAGCAGTGCCAGGTCCACACTGCTGGCATGGGGCAGGCTGGAGCCATGCTCCATGCCCTGGGCTGCAGCAGGGACAGAAGCTGGTTCAGAGCAAAGACAAGGGTGGAGGGCTGAGGGGCAGGCAGGGGAGAGAGGCTTCAGGAGGGGGAGAGGTTGGAGGAAGTGGGGCAGGGACCTGAGGCTATGGGTGACAGAAGTGGTGTGCAGGGGGAAACAGGGAAAGTGGGAATTGGGGCAACCTGAGGCTGTGGCAGAGGGACTGGTATGGGGGATGGGCAGCAGAGGATAAGCTGCCTGCCTCCCTCACTGTCTGCCCCCCCCTCCCCACCCCCTTCCGCACCTCCCCCAC